ACATCACCGCGAGCACTGACATGCAGTCCAGGCAGAGCTACCTGTCGATTCCCATAAGTTAATCTTGTGTTCTCTTTTCCTTCAAGTACGTTTGAACGTCCCATTCGTAACCAAGAACTGTGTGTTGTCTATGTGGTAGACAAGAATTTATTGTCTACATTTTGACGATTTTTTGGAATTCTAGGATTCAAGTTAATCCAAAGTGACGTCACGTGAAAACGGTTACACTGAGCTAGACCGCACGGAAAAAGTATACATTATATTTCTCTCTCTCTCTCTCTCTCTCTCTCTCTCTTACACCCACACATACACACCCATACAAAGACATACAAACAATAACATCAACTATGAACACGGCCACAATGTACTGACCGTGTTTGGGAAATAAACAATTCCTATAACTCTAGATGCATACATAAAACAATCCATACATTCAGTTAAGAGTAAAAATAAAATTCATCCTTGATAAAAGTAGAGCCTAAAGCAATCGAACATACAAAACAGATGAAAATATAACTAAAAATCTTCGCTGCAATACTTTGTAGGGCGTTTTTAATGAAACATGTATAAAAGAGGGATTGCTGCCCAAATACACAATTATTTATGTATATATGTATATGTGTGTGTATGTGTTTATATTAATATCCTTACAATATTTTCCTTTTGCTAGTGTATTTTGTAATTTTTTTCTCGGTCCGACCACATTCCCATCAAGATTTAGTCAAATGACAAAACACCAGAATTACTGGGAATCCGTTTTTCTTGGAATGGAAACCATTGCACCACACACACACACTATAATAATACATTTCGATGAGAACATCAATATAAGAACACACACACACACACACATACATAATAGAGGAATTTATATATATATATATATATATATATATATAAAAAATATATATATATATATTTTGTTGGTTATTGAATTCATTCCGTATTATATACTTTGGTATATATATATATAAAAAAAATTCATATGCACTTAATCGATAAAAAAAAAATATATGCACTTATAGGTACAGGAATATCGCCACGAAACGTCAATAAACATTGTCATATATCGATATTTATATAAAAAGAAATAATGTCTATATTGCAAATACAAAAATTTATCGCATAAGAGTTGCCACATTTTAATATATGATGTAAATGTGTAAATGTACCAACAATATAATACGCAATATATATATATATATATATATATATATATATATATATATATATATGTATATGAAAGAATCGACTCAGTAAACCGATACATGTATTTCAGAAGCCGGCAAAATAACTTGGCATGCAACTAGCCTTTTCTACTTCGACTAATATTTTCACACATATATACATGAGTATTTGTAATGATACATGTATATAGAAGGGGTGTTTTGAATCGTGTGTCCATAAAGTTCACTCTCTGTCTCTTTCCCTCTTCTCGTCTGTGTCTCTGTGTATATGACAAGTTTACTATCATACGTTATACATTTATATAGGCTTAGTGTATACGGAATAAATTCCAATAACCAACAATTACTATTCTTAAAAGAGTGCTCAATACAGAGTAGAGCGAATATAATTATTTATTCGAAAATTATAACATAAATATGAATAATAGAAAATATATATATATATATACACACACACACATATTATATATATATGTTAACCACCACTCGCAAGGGGTCGTAGTGGGAATGTTCTTGCGAGGGGTGGTTAATTGATTTGAACCTTTTAAAACCCTTTATTCTACATTCAACATCATCACTTGATAAGACACCAGAGGTGTTGAAACAAAATGGCTATTTTTTGTAGGGATTTTATAACATATTTATGTTATAGTCTTCGAATAAATAATTACATATATATATATATATATATATATGTGTGTGTGTGTGTGTGTGTGTGTGTGTGTGTACATATATATATATATATATATATATATATATATATATATATATATATATATATATATGCACAGTTCAATGATTATGCATTCATTTTCTATTATTCAGTATATAGCAAGAGAAATGTTCCATACAATACATATACATACATACTTATATATATATATATATATATATATATATATATATATATATATATATATATATATATTGCTGATTCCAAATGTTATTTCACGGATACCTATCTGTCTATATATGAAAATAAAACAAAAACCCTTGTTTGTTTGGATTTCAATAATATGTATATATATATATATATATATATATATATATATATATATATATATATATATGGGACAGTTATAGACAGTGTCGACATTAAAATTTAAACTACATCATGACAATCACAATGTGGTGTTAATTCCTACGTCAACACTGTCTATACACACACACGCATATATATATATATATATATATATATATATATATATATATATATATGTATGTGTGTATATATCTATCTATCTATATATATATATATATAAAAGTGAACATAGAAGTCAACACTTAGAGGCAACAGTCAGGCCAAGAAAAATAACAACACTGACGATTGCATATAGCATGAAACAGTCTGTCGCCTCTAAGTGTTGACTTCTATGTTCACTTTATATTTACACACGCTCTATCTCTGATAATTAGCACTTTATCCCATAAATATAGCACATCTTAAGACTATATTTCTTCATATATATATATATATATATATATATATATATATATATATAGTCCCAAAAGTATTCTAAAAGCAAGGCCAATTCTTTTTTGTTGTTCACTGAAGGCATTTGGTTTTAAGTTCAAAAGATGAATAAGAGACAGGAGTTAAGAATTACATTTCTTATTACATGGTATTTACTTTTAGATGCGTTAGACAACCTGGGACATACCACCTTTTGTTTGAACCCACCCATTTGTCAAGTGAGTAAAACTACT